TGTCTGCTCCTGTGTTTAACCACTCCTCCAAGTGCTGGCTAGTCTGTACAAATTAGAGCAAGGTGAACCTAGGGGCCGCAATCTTGGGCTAGCAAGTCCAAACCATCATTATGTGGTCCCTGGTGGAACACTGGCTGGCTCTTGAATTCTGTTCCCTGGAAGGGGATCCAATGTAACCTACTGACATATGGGTGCATTATATTTACGACCATGACAACACCCAGTTATGGAAATGTTGAGAGTTGTTGCTCACAGCCTTCTAACAACTGAACTGTTATTTGCTTAGATATTGTAGACTAAACCCTTCCATTTTGATACAATAACATCTCCCAGAAATTCTCCAACCATTACTTAACCTAAAAGGTAGCGAATGGTGAACTGTGCTCACTAGCAAGAAAAGCAAAAGCTGGATTAATGCAATTCCTAGATGTTAAATTGAGGCCCTGAGCAGGTAGACTGTTTCTTTTATGTACTGTATCTCAATGCTCAATTTTTAATCTTGACTGGAGTGCAGTTTTTAATTGGCACACGAGAGCTTGGTGATTCCTAATCAGCTGTTGGAGTATCATGTATGGCTTACGAGGCATTGGGCTGAATTCACTAAGCTGTCATGAGTACTTTTTTTACCATAATGACTTTTATTGTTCGTATCGAGAGATGAAAATAGCAGTCAAATGGCTGAAAGCATATATAACATGCCTAATAGCTCTGGAAATTAAAGCTGAACTCTGGGCATATACAGTTGTGCTCAAAGTTTGCATACCTTATGAGAACTGGTAATTTACAGTATGTATAATTTTTAAAGAAAATGAGAGAGCAGACAATACACATTTCTTTTATTTCTTATGGGATTCATATTCAATGGTAGGTCAAAACAGAATGGAACAAACATAAAACAAAACATGGCAACAAGTAAACAAATGAAATGACCCCTGTTCAAAAGTCTGCATACCCTTAGTTCTTGTACTGTGTATTGCCCCCTTTAGCATCAATGACCACTTGCTGTCTTTTGTAATAGTTGTCTATGAAACCCCAAATTCTTCTTCAGGTGGTATAGCTGCCCATTTGTCTTGGCAAAATCCCTCCACGTCATGCAAAGCCTTTGGTCATCTTGTATGAACCGCATGTTTGAGATCTCCCTAGAGTGGCTCGATGATATTAAGGTCAGGAGACTGTGATGACCACTCCAGAACCTTCACCTTTTTCTGCTGTAACCACTGGAGGGCCAATCTGGTCTTGTGTTTAGGGTCATTATAGTGCTGGAAAGCCCAAGAGCATCCCATGTGCAGCTTTCATGCAGAAGAATGCAAATTTGCTGCCAGTATTTTCTGATAACATGTTGCATTCATCTTGCCTTCAATTTTCATAAGATTCCCATACCTTTAGAGCTCACACCCCCCCAAAACATCAATGAGCTACCAATATGCTTCTCAGTGAAGATGGTATTCCTGTCGCTATAGGCCTTTTTAACCCCTCTCTAAACACTGTGCTTATGGTTGTGACCATATTTTTGTCTGAATCCAGATTACAGTGTGCCACAACCTGTGAGGCATATCAAGGTATTGTCAGGCATATTGTAACCATGTTTTTTGTGGTGCAGTAAAGGCTTCTTTCTGGCAACTTGACCATGCAGCTCATTTTTGTTCAACTATTGTTGTATTGTACACCTTGAAAGAATCACACCATCTTTTTCCAGAGCAGTCTGTATTTCTCCTGAGCTTACCTGTGGGTTTTTCTTTGTATCCCAAATAATTATTCTGGCAGTTATGGCTGCATTCTTTCTTGGTCTACCTGACCTTGGCTTGGTATCAAGAGATCCCCGAATTTCCCACTTTTTAATAAATGATTGAACAGTACTGACTGGCTTTGTCAAAGCTCTGTATATCTTTTTCCATCTTTATAAAGTTCCATTACCTTGTTATGCAGGTCTTTTGATGGTTCTTTTCTTCTCCCTATGGCTCAGTATCTAATCTGCTCAATGCATCCACGTGAGAGCTAACAAACTCATTGACTATTTATACACAGACACTAATTGCAATTTTAAAAACCACAGATGTGAGAAATTACCCTTTAATTGCCATTTTAACCCGTGTGTATTTGTACCAAGGCCAAATATTCTAGGTTATGGAAACCATTTGGGTAATTTCTGTTATTATTATGATTTTAAAAAGAGCCAAACAACTATGTGATTATAAATATGAGCACTATCCTTAAAGACAGTTTTTTGGCATGATCAGTCATATTTTCAATATCAATGCCAAAATGTCATGATTTCTGCCAGGGTATGCAAACCTTTGAGCATAACTGTACATTTTCATTAGGATATATTCCTTCAGTATCTTGAAAAGATATAAATACACTTTGGCTACTTTCACACTGATCTGCTGCAAAAACATGGCAAAAATTATTTTATTATTATTATTTATTTCAGGTACTTATATAGCGCCGTCAATTTATGCAGCGCTTTACATATATATTGTACATTCACATCAGTCCCTAACCCTCAAGGGATGTACAATCTAAGGTCCCTAACTCCCATTCATACATACACATACTAGGGCCAATTTAGACAGGAGCCAATTAACCTACCAACATGTGGTAGGTTAATTTAGAGTATGGGAGAAAACTGGAGTACCTGGAGGAAACCCACACAGACAGGACATGCAAACTCCAGGCAGGTGGTGCCATGGTTGGGATTCAAACCAATGACCCTAATACTGCCAGGTGGAAGTGCTAACCATCTAGCCACTGTGCTGCCCCATTTAGCCACTGTGCTGCATATGTGTTTGAGCATTCTTTAAAGGACACATGACCTAAAAACTTGCACCAAAAACGCTTCTCAGAGGTGTTTTTTAGGTGTTTTCCAGGTGCTTTTCAGGCGCTTTCCATTGATTTCAATGGGAAGAGGCGTTTTGGGGCTTTTTTAACTAAACAAACATGCTCCAGAGATGCTGCAAACAGGAGTTTTTACACCACAACAGAAGCGCAATGCCCCAGTGCGAAAACATACATAGACAAACAGGGAAGCATTTTTCTTGAGCTTTTCAGGTGCTTTTTTTTTTTTTTCATGCAAAACGCTTCAAAAACGTCTCGGTGTAACAGTAGCCTTTATGTACACCAAATGCCTTTGCAGACCCAGATGTTACCTTGTAAAAGTAGCAATGACAATACCACTGCACTGCATATACCCTTTGCAGAGAGCAGAGCTGTGGGAAAGACCAGACTACAGGATGTCTGCAGAAAACTACAGGGGATGGGTACAAGACTAGTTACCCTGCACAAGGAGAGAAGGCAGAAGGGACCGGTCTTTGTTGTAGGAAGCTCTAGGACAAAGGAAAGCTTTGATTACTGCAAAAAGCTGTGTAAAAAAACTCCAAGATTCAAGTAAAAATACACATTCTTCTTGTATTTTGACAATTTTTGCTTTTCCCAAATGGGTAGTGGGACTGTCCCCCACGACTGGAGACATTTGGAGTATGACCCTTTACAGGGCTGCATTAGCTCACTGTGCAGGCATAGCTCACACTATGGAGATTTTCACCCTGAGGATGTAAACAGAGGTGGCCATTAGTGTAATACATAGGAAAATACACACTTGCAGTGCAAGGTTTCTAGGTTAGTTTGGGTTAGGAGGCTAAGCATGATGGACTGGTTCAATTTATACTAAATATGTACTAATGCTTTATGTTTGACAGCCATATAATGTGTCAACGTATATGGTGAAAATGAAGAATTAAGTATTTTTTAGCTCGAAATGTCATCTTTCTATTTCTACCACGTTAGGTCAATAGATGATCGTTATCCCTCTTCATTTAGTTAAGTACTCTCCCTTAGCTTGGACATTATCTTCACACTTAACAGTAGTGTAAAAGAGAGCACAGCATGCTGGCTTTGCAAATAGTTATTGCAGGGTCAAATGGGCAGGATAATCTCTTCTTTTTGTTAAGGAAAGTCTGATTAATTAGTGCTTTGACCTTGGAAAATCTCTGCTATATTTTCTCCTTATAATCCATTAACGTCAGTAGTCTAACAGACTTAGGTGAGTGTTCACATATATAGATCAGTGCTAATGAATAAGCCTGTTGGACAAAGAAGAAGCAATGAGTGGTGATTTGCTAAATATGGACTGCGCTCAGATTGCAGTTAATGATCTAGAAGAACCCAAATGCACATTTTCTAGCCAGGGAAAAAAAACATATATTAATTATTTAACACTAACAATGAACTGTAGTTTGCAGCTATTGACACGCATACAGTACTTTTTATGAGAAAACGTAGCTGAAAAAATCCTTCTGTTCTCCTCTTGTAGGATATATCAGGAGAAAAGATGTGTACATTCAGAGTGAACTAAAACGTCAGTGTAGGCTTGATAACGTGGGCAGAATTCAATTGTATATAATTTGTGAGACAGATATAGCTTTCGTTTGGTGGTATATAGGCTCCATACACACTATTTAAAAACAAAAATGCTGGCCCTCTTCCATAAATATCCCACTGCAATCCCTAAGAACTCCTTTAACCTCCCTGGCGGTATGATTATTTCAGATTTTTGGTGCTGAAAGCGGTACCATTTTTTTGCATGGAAATATGTATTTTTTTTATATTGTAGGCCTGTAATTTAGGAATAACTCACTGAAATCTGTCCGAACAAGAGTCTAGTAAACATTCCGGATATGATAAAAACTTGAAACACAAAATCATAAATTATAATTTAATAAATAATCATAAAAAATAACAATATAATAATAATAATATATTTAATTAAATAATATAATCAAACCAAAAACACTGAAATTTGAAATATAGCGCCAAGTTCGCACATCGCTGAGCAAAGTCGCAAAATCGTTCTCAGTATCTGATGATGAATTTCCCCACGAATCATTATCACTCAATTCTGCAAGTAGTTCTGATTTACTATCGCTGTTCTCTAGTTGGTCTAAAACTGATTTTGACATAAAGGGACGCTTTTTGGATGCCATGGACTTTTCTAAGTTTCCAGGCAGAAAGAACAGTCAAAATGCAGGCAGGGCACAGGACAAAGCACTAGGGACAAAATGTATGTGAAATGTTTTGAAACAGCAATGTTTTACTATGTAATAATCATTTTAAAAAAATTATATTTTTAAAAAAAATTTCAAATTTGCCGCTGGTTCCGGCACCCGTACGTCCCGACGTCACAGGGACCGGAACACGGAAGCTGGATGCCGGCATCGGCCGGAGGAGATGGCCGGGGATGCTGCAGGGGACGCATCCCGGGAGCGAAGGACAAGGTAAGCGCTGCAGGGACTCCCTATGCAACGCTGCATGGTAAGCCCGAGTGTAGCTTGGGGTTACCGCTTTTGGTACTGAAACTCTACCCCGAGCTACACTCGGGAAAACCGCTAAGGATGTTAAGCTACTTACCTATATGTTGCTCTACTTACCTATATATTGCTCTACTTACCTATATGTTGCTAGTGGCTAGAACTGCTATGGCTAAAACATTGGCAGAGTTCTCTTATCCCTCTAGAATTTGTTAAAGCTAAATTGAACTGGATCATGATCAAGGACAAACTTACTTGTACTCTACACAACAATACTACTAAATTCGTGGGACCCATGGATTCAGCACATCTCTGTACCTTGATCCTGCTAGCAGTGACCCTCTTTTTCTTCTTCTCCTTCTTTTATTTCTTCTTCTCTCTTTTGTTTTATTTCTTTGTCATTCTTTTCTTACTTTGCTAGGTCTTGTTTTCACTCCTCTATGTAGAGCAGTTGAGTGAAACCATGTGTATTGGTTCTACAACATTTGCAATGTATTTCTTAATTGCTTATTCCAGGCGCTTCATGTGGCTACAAGTATTGAGTTTTATTTTTGTATTATATCATGGCATTTGTTTTGATGCTATTTGTATTCTGAAAACTTTTCAATAAAAACCATTGGAAAATAAAAAAAAAAAAAAAATGCTACTCCAAGAAGAGTTTAGCGTTTTGCCTGTAGAAGCAATTAATTTAATCCTATGTGTCTGTGCACATTAGGTAGCCTACAGGCGTTTTTTAAGCTCTGTGTTTAGAGGCAGAAAAAACCTTCAAAATTAATGTTTTTTTCTTACAAAAGCATTGGTGTTTTTTAAGCAAGTGTACATGAAGCATTTAATCACCACTTGGTACTTTACTATGGATAGCAAAAAAGGACAAAAAAAAAGAAAAAGAAAAAAAAAAAAAGGTTTCCCTTAGTTTCTGTTAAAAAAACCCCATATCAAATACAAAATGCAAGGGCAGTATGAAAATGACCGATATGACCAGTTTGTGGAAAGAAGACACTCCAAGATAATCTAATTTCTCGCTATAATTTATTGAAAATGAAGAAACCTAATAGCATTAAGGGGCTAGAAACACGGAGCTTGGTAATGGTACACTAGATACTTTAATGTACGCATCACACAAAGAGAGAGCAGGGGGCGAAGGGGTTAATGGACAGGTCACATACAGTGAGCCAATGGAGATGAAAGGCTTAGGTTATTACAGAGATAGGCTGGAGATCATGTGCACAGGAGAGGAGAAAGGTGAAAGGATTAGATAAAGACCCCACATCCAATGAAAGCCCCTTACTATTGATCTGCTGCTGCAGATCCATTCAATCATTCAGCATTTATAATGTGCAACAATCCCACTCCTTCTTAGGTTGTAAGGGGAAGGGGAGGGATCAACAATGCAAACAGTAGTGTGTTTACATGTTTGATTGCTGTGATTGGTCAACACAGAGATCACCTGGTAATGAGCCACTCAGATTGTCTCAGTAGACTGTTTCTGTGAACTAAGCTAACCAATAACGGCTTCATTCATAGCTATTAGCCAGTGCAACTGCTGTCCATTGATACTTTACCATTTACAACTGGTACTGAGTAAATAAATGCCCACAAAATTGCCATTGATATAAACAACACATTTACCCGCTTGACCTCTGGAAGATTTACCCCCCTTTCTGACCAGGCCATTTTTTGCGATACGGCACTGTGTTACTTTACCTGCTAATTTCACAGTCATGCAATTCTGTACATAAATGAAATTCATGTAATTTTTTCCCCCACAAATAGAGCTTACTTTTGGTGGCATTTGATTAACTCTGTGTTTTTTTACTTTTTGCGTTATTAAAAAAAAAGGCCAACAATTTTGAAGAAAAAAAACAATATTTTTTATTTTCTGCTGTAAAACCTAAAGCATGAATTAATGAAAGACAGAAGTTGTCAAACAAATCTGATTTCTTTTTATGAGGGGGTGAGCAAAACCTTTGACAGAGGGGTGGCGGTGGACGTGGTATACTTGGATTTTGCAAAAGTGTTTGACACAGTTCCCCACACACGGCTAATGTGTAAGGTAAAGTCTACGGGCTTGGAAAAATCTGTATGTAAATGGATAGAAAATTGGCTAAAAGATTGTATTCAGAGGGTAGTGGTTAATGATTCATACTCTGAATGGTCTGGGGTCATCAGTGGTGTACCCCAAGGTTCAGTGTTGGGACCCTTACTTTTTAATATACTTATAAACAATATTGGGTCTGAGATTAAAAATACAATTTCAGTCTTTGCAGATGACACCAAGCTGTGCAGTGGAATAATGTCCTTACAGGATGTCTCCAACTTACAAGCCGACCTCAATGCACTGTTAAATTGGGCAAATATGTAGCAAATGAAGTTTAATGTTGATAAATGTAAGGTTCTGCACTTGGGGGCTAAGAATATGCATGTATCATACATACTAGGGGGGGTACAACTGGGGGAATCAATGGTGGAGAAGGATCTGGGAGTTCTGGTAGATCACAAGCTTAATAATGGCATGCAATGCCAAGCTGCGGTTTCTAAGGCGAGCAAAATCCTCTCTTGTATTAAAAGAGGTATAGACTCCAGAGAGAGAGATATCATTTTCCCCCGGTACAAATCATTAGTAATACTTCATCTGGAATATGCAGTTCAGTTTTGGGCACCAATTCACAAAAAGAACATTGCGGAACTGGAGAAAGTACAGAAAAGGGCAACCAAACTGATAAGAGGCATGGAGGAGATCAGCTATGAGGAAAGATTAGAGGAACTGAATTGTATTCTCCCATGAGAAGAGGAGATTAAGGGGGGATATGATCAACATGTATAAATACATAAGTGGTTCATATAGTGAACTCAGTGTAGAGCTATTCACCCTGAGGTCATCACAGAGGACACTCTTTACGTCTGGAGGAAAAGAAATTTAATCTCCAAACATGGAAAGGTTTCTTCACAGTGAGAGCTGTGAAAATGTGGAATAGACTCCCTGAAGAGTTGGTTCTGGTCAGCTCAGTGATTGCTTTAAAAAAGGCCTAAATTATTACTTGGATACACAGAATATAACTGGATACTAACATTTATAGGTAACATTGATCCAGGGAATATCCGATTGCCTCTCGGGGGATCAGGAAGGAATTTTTTCCCTGCAGGAGCAAATTGGATCATGCTGCTGGGTTTTTTTTGCCTTCCTCTGGATCAACTGTGGGTGTAAGATTATAACTTTTTTTTTTTTTTTTTTTAATGGTTGAACTGGATGGACTTTTGTCTTTTTTCAGCCAGACTAACTATGTAACTATGTGCTCCATTAAGGAGAGTTCCACTTGTTTTGTAGACACAGCAGGAAATGAGAGGATACCTCTTAGATAGTTGTCACCGGGACAAGTGTCCCCATTGGAGAATTTCTCCCTTACTTTCACTTCCAGTTACAATGGTCACCAGGACAAATTGAAAGAGTATATCTCCCTAATAGGACATAGAGATCAATAAAAACCTGACCAGTTGCTACTCTATCCAAATCTAAAAAAAATAGTTTTGGTATTAGGCAGTGTCGGCTACACATTATTGACATCAGTGAATCATGTCTGCATTTTGTGTGTCAGTTCAGATGCCTGTGGTCATTACCAGTAGTGCATGTGACATGGTGACAAGAAAGGAGAATAGTTGGGAGACAGTTGTGACCCCATAACTGGAACTATCTCAACAAAGACTTCCATGAAAGGACCAGCTGTATTCTTTTAACCTCCTCCTGCCCAGCCCCAGTGTCTGAACAGTCGATCACATGACCACTATGACTGGCTGTCACAGTTACATGATTGACTCCCAATCATTAGTAAAATTGAGAGCTCTCTGGTCACTGTGCTAGGAGCACACAGTGAATGTGCTCTCTGCCAATGGACACATATGTACGGCATGTGGGCAAGTCCACCCTCTTTGGTGCTGTACAAAGGCGTTACATGGGAGGCAAGAGGTTAATGAAAGCTGCAGATTTAAGAAACAATGTTTGCAAATACATTTACTTATTTCAGCTTATATGAAATTTTGGCAACTGAATATCAATTTTAAATTTATGAATGAAGAACAGAGAAAGAGATTATGAAACAAAGGATAGGCTCTGTCAAAACATTGTCATCCTATGCCACAGGTTATGTGGTTTCTCCACTTACTGTATGTTTGGTTGCTGCCCATAACAGCTGATGATGAGCATTCAATTGAATGTACGGCAACACAAATTTTAATTACTCTTTCAAGTCCAAATTATTGCCATTGTATGTGCAATATAAACCCTGATAAAAGGAGAGTTTTGGACCCTCGAAACATGTTGGTATGTCTACAGATCCTGTGTACACACTATAGGGAAAGTAAAAAAACATTAGGTTCTAACCTTCTGGTGGAACTCTGAAGTTCCTCATTCTCCACTTATAAAATGCTATATGATTTTTCAACATTTTTTTCTAGTTTTGCTTCAGAAGACATTCCGATTTCTCAGTCTATTCATGCTGTTCCAAGGATCCAGATACATAATATTCTACATCCTTACATATATCCAAAAGATATACTATACACACTCACAAAACATGTTCACAAACTTGTATTATTTTCTGTAGAACTAAAAATAAATCCAGGAATATAAAGTAGGTCAGTCAGCCTGCCGCACATAGAAAGCATGTTTAATCCCAACAAGGGACAAAGGACAAAAGGGACATCTGCAGACCACATCAAGCTTAGCTAAATTTAGCTGACAGATCACAGAGCGAAGATACTTCTCTCTTTAATGAGTACTTTCTATATTTATTATCAGATTTGTGCTTTAAAACATGCATCATTTTTTGAAAGAATGATGTCATATAGTACTAAAGCATGCTTTCATTTGATGATGAAAGATTATGAAGGGAATTTAGGGATCAGAGATGTAAAACTGCAATAGAGAATCTTTTATGGTCAATAAGTATTAGTTTTGTGTTGTTAATTAAACATTTAGTGTACATGAAAATACAGTATTTCTGGAATAAATTTCTCATTATGCATGCTTGATGTAGTGTCATGTTTTACAGTAT